ATTTAATAACTTAATTTTTCTGCTTTAGTATTTGGGGGATTTATGAAATGGGCATCAGTGTTATTCTAGCATAACCAGGTAATTCATAATTTATAACGTTAATGTTTAAATTGAATTGTTATCTGTTTTAATTTCTAGCATTTGAGATTAAACCAACCAAAATCACAGTAACTACCTCATTTTAGATGTAATACTTTATAAGCCATAAATCCTGGAAATTATATAACTAGGATGATAATGCAACTCCTGTATAACCTCACTAATATTTTTACTCAGTTTTAGAAGATTAAAACGGTCATATTCTGAACTTTCTTAAAACAGAAGCTTTTTAATTTTAATTTTTAGGTATACCAAATATATCTTTCTGGGTGCATCTACATGTATTATTAAGGTGATATGATAAACTCCAGCAGTTCATGCCAGAGTTAACTGCTCCTGGGCACACCATCTACACATGCATTCAGGACTACAGCAATCTGAGCTGGGGTAGAACAGCTATGGGCTGGCAGGTGGAATGGGGGGTCAGCTCCCGGTGGCAGTAGAGGGTGGTGGAGGGGCTGACAGGAACTGGGGTCTGGCCCCCAGCTGACTGGGCTGACCAGGCACAATTTGCACCCAGTGGTCACCAATCACATAAGCATTTGATCATAGTTAATTACTTCACTAGAAGACAATACTGTCTTATGGAAGATGGTACTGTTTTACGGGGATTACTACCCCGATTGTAGTAATTAACTGTGATAACCACTCCCCACACTCTATTTTATGGAAGAGTTCATTAATTTACTGAACCCTAATACTAACGCACCCGTGGACAATGATGCTTTACTTTGAAACTAATTAATCAACTCTGCAGTAAAGTGCACATGTAGATGCACCGTCTGCGCCCACCTACATGTGCCCCAGACTGCTCAGTAACTGGCATTATTGCACAGTCCCATCGTCACACGGTTACTTTTAGCTGCTGCTGCGCAGTAGCAATGAGCTGCTGCACAGTAGTATCACTGTCGTGGTTCATGCCTGGCAACACTACATCATCATAGCAACAAGCTACGGAGTAGTAGCTCATCGGTACAGTGACACAGCGTCTTGTGTAGACATGCCCTCTGTGTAGTAATAGAAAACTTTGTGCTTGAGCACAATTTTTAGCTTTCTTCACTACTGAATCAAAGTGGTAAAAATAAAATATGCTAGTTGGCAATGGGTATGTGGCTCACTGTATTCATCTTATTCCTTTGGACTGTTCTCAATAAAGTGTAGATGTTTAGTACATTTAGCTATGTTTATGGTACTTGGACCATAACAACTACAGCATAGCATTTAGCCTTGGTTGAAGCTGGCATTGTTAATTGGTGCTGAACATGCAGAATACAAACTATTCAGAGACTGAATCTAACATATTTCCTGTGCTCCGTTCTTCACTGACAAACTGCTTTTGGCAGAAGTTCTTAGCTGTTTCCATAAAACTCTGGGAACTTTTAAATCCACAACTATTTAAAACTAACCATAAAATCATGCTGGCTTCCTTTCCAGTGATGGATTAATTTTTTTTAATAAAATTAATTTTATTTACATGGACAATACTAATATTATTTGAGAGGTCCCATATGCTAATAAATGTAATTCCTCCTTTGATAATTGGATCCCTGATGTAGGTTTCTGCTCTTGGAAGAAGCAAAGCATGGTGTACAAACTGCTTCAAGTGAGGAGTGTTTGCCACTTCTTTCCCTCTACCTCTGTTTTCCAAGGACATAAAAAGGGATGCCTTGGTGTGACTGAGCACCTTAGGGTGCCTGTTATTTGAAGGTCTAGAGTAGCCATCAGAGCAGCCGGCAGGTATGAACTGAAATAATGGGCCAGTCACATGACTGCAGGAGGGCCTTGTGATTTTAGGAGGGGGCCAAGCAGCCTCCATTTTAGACCCAGGCCCTCAGGGCCATGCCAGCAGTCTTCCGTTGACAGCCAAAAGAGCAACACCTGTCTGATCAAATCATCCTTGGAGGTAAGGGCAGGAGCTATGGAGATGGCAGGAAGCTCCTGGTCCTGGGTATGGCTTGAAACTGCACCCTGCCAGGGAAGGGTGGTCTGGTGGGACTGTCCATGGTGAGACAGTCCCCCAGAAATGCCAGACCAGTTACCTCCTTGGTGAAAGGTGAGTAGAGGCACCTTAACCTGCCCCCCACTACCCAGTGGGTCTAGAGCAAATGGTGGGGGCAGGCACGCCTATTGAGAGGCATGTGAGCCTACGGGGGTGTAAGACCCTGGAGATGGTGGGGCCAGGCATGCCCAGAAAATGGCACCTGAGCCCACGAGGGGTGTAAGACCTTGAGGCCCTAGTGTAGGAGGTAAGAGTAATGAGTCACCTGGGGAGGGTCTCTGGTCAGAGCTCTGTCTAGGGCCAGGTGAATTGGCTGGTCATTGCACAGATAAAGATCATGGGGAAGGCCCAAAAGGCTATGCCAAGGCCAGCCAGGGGTTGTGAGTAAGCAAGCCTGATGGCCTATAAGAGCCACTCAAGGGAGCAGGGCAGGCTGAGTGTGGCCCCATGTGGAGCAGCAAGTGAGAGGCCCAGTGAGAGTGGGTGGTATGAATGAGGCTCATTGGGGGTGGAGCAAAAGAATGAATGGATGTGGCCTGGCAAGAGACTGAGTTTGGCTCAGCCTTGAGCCAGAGCATAAAGCAGCTCTAGGATGTCATCTGCAAGTCGTGGGACATGATAAGGGGAGGTTGGAGTCGTGTGAACCCCTTGGCATCGCGGTATTCAATGGGCAGCCTCCTGCTTATTCCAACAGATTGACTCCCAACAAGTCATGGCAGGTGAGACTGGGCAGACTGCCCTAGATGAAGTGGCGGGCCGGTATGGTGATTGGCCAACATTATGTACCCTCGTCACACTTGGCAACAGCCTTTAGTTCCTTCTATATTTCATGGGAGAAGGTTCAACCCAGTTGAGTTGATTTCCTTAGCATAGACTAAGACTAAGAATGTAGATGAGATTAAGGCCAGGGTTTAATAAATCTCAACAAGCTGTCCAGCAAGGATCATTGTATTATGTATATGGGTACCTGACTGTATCAGCAATCTGGCATTTGCTCATGACATGTGGGACTAGTCTCCAGGGAGCAGCTCATTTTCACACTGTTCTTTTATTCTCTCCATTGCATAATTACTTTCTGTACTTAGCGTCTAAGTCTGAAGCCCAGTTCACATGAAAAATCCTTCAATTAATTTTCAACTAATATTCCTGTAGTGTCACTACAGGTTGTCAATCTCCTAAGAGTGGGGATCCATGTGGGCTCTTTTTGATGTCAGAAATGTTACTTGCATAATAAATGTGGCCCTCTGAAGTAAGTGCCATTATGAACACATTTTTCAAGTACCTTTGGCATGATTTAGGCCAGGGTTGAGCAAAGTCCAGCCCGCAGGCCGGATATGGTCGGCCATGGACTCCATTTCCCAGGTGGCTCTGTCCACATGGCTTGGACCGGTCTCCATGGAGACCCCGGCCGCACCTGAGCAGGAAAGCTCAGGCTGGGGTTGCTATGGAGACCAGCTGCAGCCGCACTGGCAGCATGCATGGCAGAGCAGCATAGGGGGTGCTCCGGAACCACTGAAACCTTGCAATGGAGCCTGGGCACAGCCACGATCTGTAGCCTGCACAATCCAGGAAGGTGTGTGCAGGCAGGGGATCACATCTCTGCCCTGGTTCCTTGTAGCGGTGACAGCCTGGTTGGCCTGGAGCTGGGACAGAGCCACGATCCCCTGCCTGAGCACCGCTTCCTGGAGCGTGCAGGCTACAGATTGTGGCTCTGCCCTGGCTCCAGAGGAGGCTGCCCCCCATTGTGAAATCCCAGTGGCTCCAAAGCAGCCACCTGCACTGCTCTGCCACACGAGCTGCCATGACAGCTGTGGCTGGTTTCCATGGCAACCCCAGCCTGAGCTTTCCCCCACAGGTGTGGCTGGGGTCTCCATGGAGACTGGCTCAAGCCATGTGGGTGGGGCTGCTGAGAAATTGAGTCTGGCTGCCTGCTGGATGGCCATTTTGCCCACCCCTGATTTAGGCTAACCAGCTATGAATTAGTGGAAAGAGCTGAAGCGTGTCTGGGGCCATAATTTGTTGTTTGTGTGTTGGCAATATCCAGTAGACCGATCAGAATCAGGGCTACATTATGCTGGGCATTACATGAGTATGTAAGAAGAAACTGCAGTCATATTGATAAATCATGTCCTCTGTTGTGCCACTGGAGCCCAGAGTGAGGGAGAAGGCTGAGAGCCAAGTGTTCCTTTCAGAGATTAGAGATTGGAGATTGCTCTCTTGAAGTTTGGAGTGTAAGTTTGCCTAGTTTTGCTTCTCCAAGGGTGTGAATACATATGGGAATTATTATTTCGTAGAACTACAGTCTGTCTGGTAAGTAGCAATATTTTCTTTGAAATATATTTCTCTACTCCTATGTTAATTTGTAATCCTTTGTGAAACATTTGTTATCTCTGTCACCTCTTCCCAAATTGTAATTTAAGGCTTTTTTCCTTCAAACATTCTCACACGTTCTAACTCAGTTCAGAATTAAGTGTATACATAAGTTGTTGCAGGCTTGAGGCCCAACCTTGCGGTTGAATTAATCAATTTTTGTACACAACATAAATGCATTAATGTTGGTATATTTTCATATAAAAGATTTTACAAAAGTCTATCCAAATATGCTGTTTTGTCCTAAGATGGTACTGTTTCAATGCTTTGATTATGCCATCTGTCAAATTATCTGTCATATACAATCTTGCTATTAAAATCAATCAACCTATCTTCCATCACAGAAGAAGCCCAATTTTAGATGTGGAAGTCCTCTTTGGATGGCCAGATAAAGGTTTAGATAAATGTTCTTTTTCTTTTTGTATAAAAATACAGTATTTGAAAATTAGGTCCAGGAATATTCTATAAGCAATTACAGGCCTATCGCTGTAAAGCTTCTATCAGTTAATTTATGCTACTTTATATTTTGCAGATGGGGAACTCAAGGGGATTTCACCACTACCCATCCTCGGCCTGTGGTCAAAGTAAAGCTCTTTACAGAAAGCACAGGGGTCCTAGCACTTGAAGATAAAGAACTAGGAAGGGTGAGTGTTATCACATTTACAAAATTCAAGTATTTATAAACTAAGTTTAGCAGAGTGCCAGCTCTCTGTTTGGCACTCAAAAATTCACACACTAAGTTTGACTGCAGTGAAATTTTCTGGGCCTCACAGGGGACGGAATAAATTTATTGGTCCAAATTTTAAGTAGTTTCAGTAAGGGTTTCCTGAACTTCCTAAAAAGAACATTTTACAGAATCTTCTAATTCCTCTAACATGTTTACATACATAGGTGTGAATGAGTATGGGGGTTTTATTGGCTTCACTTTTTCCCCTTCAGTTTGAGCCCTTGCTCTCTTTACCGTTGTTCTTGTTGGATTGGAGATGGGGGAGGTTGCAGCTGTGGCTCTAATAGATAAAGAAAATTGAGATAGACCAGAGCTGCTGTTGTTATCGTTGTTGGCATTGAATTCCCCCCACCCCCACCAAAAAGAAACAAAAACAAAACATGAGTAAAAGGGGAAAGAAAAGAACAGCAAAAATGGAAGTTACTGCCTGTCTCTGTGCCTTTGATGCAAAGGGAAGAATGGGACAGCAGTATCTGTGGGATTATACTCCCATCAGTTGTGTAAACCAGCAGTAGCATAGGGTGGGTTGAGCAAGCAGGGCAATATGTCCTGGGTGCTGTTTAGGAGGAAAGGTGCCAGAAGAACAGAGGGGGGTAGCATTCATCCTGCTATCCCATACTCTGCCTGCATTTTCTGGCTGCAGGAAGCAGCTGGTGCAGGCAGTGTATGTCCTTGAATGTGAGGTGTTCTGGGAGCTGTAGTTCTGTAGAGGAGCAGTGGAGTTCACTGATATGGTGGGGAGAATTGATTGCAATTTTGTGTCTAAAATCAACATTTTTTTTTGCCCTTTCAACATGGGCTTCAGCAGCAAAAAAAAAAAAAAAGGGGGGGGGGGGGGGGGAAAGTTTCCCCCC